CCGTGGGACATTTGTTATGTTTCATTTAGACATATTTTGATTTGACTCTTATTGTCTTTATAATTTTCCATCTAATGGAAGGACCTGCAATTTATTCAAAACCACCTAAAAACGGCTATTGGATGTTTATATGAAACTTTTTATTTCATGTGAGAAATGCGCTTAAGGGGGAATGAAATTCACTGAAGAGAAGCGACGGCGTTTGCAAAATTAAATGTAAATTTTTTTCATTCTGTTTCATTCAGTTTGTAGGCCCTTTGTAGTCTACGCGTGTGGCCACGTACAATTATTGTATATTTATTACTAGCTTAAGTTATTGGGATAGTTACTGACCTGAAGTTCTATGAAACCATCTGAGTAAAAAAATAAAAATTAAATTGGCTTAGTTGTAACCACAATACGTAAATACATATGTACATAAAAAAGCTTACCACTATACCTAAAGTTATCTCACCTTTAAAGCTATAAATAGATTTCCTCAATAAATATTTTTTTTTTTTCTCGCTGAGTGTTAGACGTGAGTGATAAACACTTTTTGCAACCATTTGTTAACCATCAAAAAGTGGGTCAGCATTTGCGTGCGCGACACCGAATACGATTTGTCGATTACAAGCCGATTTTTACACCAGAACTCAGTGTGAGTCCGCATAACCTTACTTGCATTTCACGTAAGCTAAACTAAAAGCTAAACAAAAAAAAAAGAAAGGTAGAATTTATAGACTTAAGTTCACAGCCAGACATTTACCCAGCGTGGTTGATAAAGCGCCAAATGTTAGAAAAACAATTCATAGTAAAAATAAATATTTGCAAAAGGCGATAAAGAGGTGCTCGAAAACAAGGCAAAAAAAAAAATACCAAAAAAAAAACGAATTAAAAATATAAAATTGCACTGAAATGCATTGCCTGCAATACTTGTGAGCTCCTTTTTGCCATGCACACTTTGTAGGCAGTTTATGCAATTTTATTATGCCGTTGCTGCAATGAAATGGCCTTAAAAAGAGCGAGCATTGTTTTTACCTGTTGGCTTAGTTTGAAAAATTGCTATGCCACTCACCTAAATTTCCTCTAAAATGTTGTGCTATTCATTTTCTCTCTGCGGGTAGGCAAATATATGTGTGCACCCGCTCACTCGAGACTTTACGACCACCACCTGTGTATTTGCATTGCATGGCTAGCTGTATTTCCATTTCCGTTACCGATTTAATGGCACTAAATGTAAAACACTACACCGTATCTGAGCTGACAAGAGCTCACACCCAAGCGTCTAACCATGCGTCAATATATATGCAAATACTTTAGCACTGTGTTACAAAAAAAAAAAAAAACAGAAAGAGATGGAGTAGTGAGAGTGAGTGAGAGAGATAAGAAGAGACCTACATACACACTCTTCACCAGCCTTAGTTTACAAGGCTTTAAAGTAGGAGATGTATGCACATATATAATAAATTGAAAAACCAACAAACGAATGCTCTACCATTGGACATAAACACAAATGTCAAGCGACAAAAAATCAATCGTAAAACGTTTTTTCGACTAATTCAAATATCCATTGAGGTCAAGAGTTCAAGTATTTCACATTTGTAAGTTAGCTCACGCTCAGAGGAGAATAAAAGCCACACATGGACATGGACATAACTCACTTCCAAAAACTCCTCTATAAGTCCTGGCTGAAAACCAAAGAGATGATAATGGAAAAATAGCACATAATTAGAAATTTTTAAATTGCCGCTTGCTAGAATTAAGCTAGATTAAATCAATTCATTACCTAATTTTATATCAGCAAAAGATTCCCCTCACATACAGTTTTAAGCATCTCCGCAAGGCTGATGAACTTCATGTCAGACATCTATCAGGAAGGTGTGGATACTTTCCCACAAAGAATGAACGCATTTTGAAAAGAGTTCTTTACAGTCTAAGAGGGATTTGAGTACATGATTCTCTACTCAAAAAAATTAAATAAATAAATTAAATAAAAACAAATTATTTCACGAAGAAATGGGAGGTGGCCCATAAGGAGGAAATTGTAATGATGGTACAGATCACTCATACCAATAATGCTATCGTGAGCGTAGTTAATTTGGTGGAGAGTTGCATGACCAACGATTGCGAGCTAGTTGTGTGATTGGGCAGAAATCTCAATACAACTATACCCCACCATCTCCGCCAGTTATCATATTAGACAAGGCAACTTACTGACTGGGCTGTGTCATTGTGGCTGCAAACCTATTACTGAGAATATATCTGCTATGGGTCAAATCCGGGAAAGTACCCATGATTTTAGAGCTGTTTTTGGTAGCACAAACAGGAACTGCTGCTCGTATGGTTTTCAGATATTCGCAAAATATTCACGTCTGTGAAAACTGTGCCACTCCAGCGAAAAACCAGCAAGGACCCTGCCGAGATGCCAAACAAGGTTTAACAATTATTGTCTGGCTTTTGTATTTTAATACTGGGGAAATTAATAAAAGCTTAACTTATTTACAGTTGCTACTCTACACCGAGTAGGGAATTGACAACAAAAAAGTCTTCTCGCGTCGGACAAAAACCAGCTCCACAAGTCTCTAATTGTACTCGTCCAACTTTATGGCGTAGACGCTTGGACGATAACAACAAATAATCCATCGGCGGTGAGAATTTTTCGAGATAAAAGTTTTACGAAAGATTCATAATTTTATACATACTCAGCTTTGAAAGTTTTTGAAGCAATATCCTCTTGTATAAGCAAAGGCGGAAAAAGTCCTTTACTCTATTGGAAAGGTCAAGACTTTCCTTGGTGTCCCCAATTGTTGCCAAACTACGTAAAGAAGAACCGACTCTATATTAATGTAGAACAAATCTTCTGATGTCAATTTTGAGGTCACTCAAATAATTTTATCTCTTCTACGATAAAAAATAAAAATCGAAAGAGTTTGATAAAAATAAAATTACACTGAGAATCAACAATAAAATCTTGAATTTATTTTATCTCAAGTTTGTACTTTTTTTTCATAAAAATATAACAAAAAATTATGATTGGATAAAGGTCATAATCATTTTACTAAATCATATGGTTTCTCTGCGCTCAGATATTCAATCAGAAGTTTGATTAATGAAAATAGTAGATTCTTCAACAGTTGGCACAGCAGCTGCCTCAAATAAGTCGACGTATCAGCGTAGAATATTTTGTTTATTTTTTCTACAAAAGTTAAAGCTTTTCACGTTGGCTTTTATATTTAAAAGTTGGCAGAAATGTAGATTTACTGAAGCATCATACATTTTCACATGTCAGCTAGTTAAATGTTCGTTCACTTTCTCTCTCTCTCTTTCTCTCTCACTCTCTCACTGGTCGCTCTCTCCCTACTTCACAACATAGCAAATTAATCAAAGTAATTAAAAATTCTTTCAAGGTTTTCCAATGAATTTAATTTCATTTCATTGCAACTCACAAAAAAGGTTAGTGTCTAAACATCAATACATTCACACATACATAGCTATTCATTGATACATACATGCATGCACACATACATATATTTATTATACGAGTTGTAATTTTTTTCTGTGCTTATTTGGGCATGGGCTTCACTCACTAGCTCATCGAAGCAAGAAAACTGTAGAGAAATCCCGCAAACTACAATAACAACAACAGCAGCAACTAGCTACAGAAACGTAGCAGTAACTGAAACTGGTTGCTGAGTGAAAGCATTTTAACTCATTCTGCAAGTATTGCTTGTATTTAGTTCGTGCTCGTCCTTGCGCCGTTGTTAGCTCATGCTAAGGTTACTCATACGCCAACGTGCGTCACTAATTCAGCTGTGCATGAGTGTGCGTGTGTGTGTGTATGTATGTGCGCAGCGCTGCTGGTCGTCAGTCGCTACTTTCACAGCTGAAATGTGAAACTTTGTTTCAAGTTTTTGCTTGTAAAACTTCTTTCAGACACATACGAACACATATATATTATACATACATACATACATAACTGTTAAGCTAAACTTTACCTACACGTATGTGTATGTGTGTTATTTGGTAGTTTGGGCGCTTCGTTACATCGTTTGGCCACTAGTTTTCTTACACTTTCTTTTGGCGCTTGTGTAGAATTACAATCAATTTTGTTGTTGTTTCCTTTTTTTGGTGTTTTTGAAAAGGTTTTTAGTTGCAGAGTTCGTTAGTATTGCAAGTTATCGCTATTTGAATTTCGCTTTTCACACACGTTTAAGGTTGTGCTCTGGGCAACTCGTATTTTCTTAAACTTTTTTGATGAGGAATTCTCTTCTGCTCTTGTGGTGAAGCTCTTTACTCTCTATATTTTCATTTTTCCTTTAAATGTTATGAATTTTTCTTTAATTTTCAGCGTTGCTATACTTAGAAGATATCATGGGTTGAAGGTAATTATTTACTTTAAGTTCATTACCTCAACGGAAAGAGCTAACTAGATCTTTCTTTTTGGACGGTAGAAGAGCTTGGCAGAGCGTACACTTACTAAGCTCTCTGAAACTTTTCACAACTGTTTTTGTACCAGTGCCCTTAAAATTTTCAACGGACACCCTTCGACATAATAGAAGAATAAATCTGTTTCGCCGCAGCAGCGTAAAGCGTACTGCCTGAGCAGTGGTCTTCATCAAAGTTGGAAGTTTTAAACCCAGACTGCTGATTGTCAGAATGGGAGGGCTCATTATCAGACCACGATTTTGACCCCCATTAGGCTATTGACCTTGACGTCCAATATTTTAGAGATTTGATCAAGCAGATAGCTACTAAATATTGAGGCTCAGCTCTGCCCAAAGCAGGGCGTTTTTACAACTTAGCACCTCAAAAAAAGGAAAATTTTCTACCACAATCCACGTCAATGCCATTTAGTGGATCCGAACTACAACCCTGTGGTCTAGATATTCGATGACTTCCAAATTCGTAGAGTATATTTTCAGGAGCAATATTACAGAATTTTATTCATCGCTCTGCAAAAAACTGATAAGACACATATTTGATTTTCCTTTTACTTCAATTCGTGACGTCTGCATAGAAAAAACTACAAACAAATTATATATTTCACATAAAATATTCAAAAAATATTTTTCTAATAAATTTTCTCAAAACTTAATGCAAACGTTGCGTTTCTGCCAAACACTTTGTTTGTGGCTCATAAGCATTTCTATGACGCGCCAAGATCTCTGCACTTATTGCAAATGTGTGCATGGCCAATATCCCGACGAACCGATTTGGATTGATGTGAGCAAACGTACTGAGATTGCGGTGTTGGGACACTCATGTGGACGGCAGGTGACGTACACATGGAAAGCTGTTGGCGGTTCTGGTGGTATGTTTAAGTGTGAGAGAGGGAGGGAAAGAGAGAGTGTGTGAAAGATTCGCACTGAAGAAATAATTTTGTAATTTTTTATTTCTTCTACAGAAATTTTAGTTGATCTTGGTACAACCGAAGTACCACGCGTCAATTGGTTGCCGTTCGCTTATTCGGTTAGACCCGACCAGCAAGGCAAAAGCAATCGCATTATTGTGACCAAAAGTGATGGCCGAACAACAGGACAATGTGTAGTGAGTAACCTTTTGAAATGTGAAAAAGTCCTATTCTTCTTTGTACTATAAAAAACTGTAATATCTTCATGGCAAGCTGGGATATGGTCATCAGAGCCTGTGTGTCTAAACGGTTTGTCCGGTTGCCACAAATTTTATTTGTTTTATTTTTCATTATCCTTCGCCTCGACTTAATCCACACTCTATTTTCTTTCCCGCTTTATAGTGCCACATTGACTTTGTGAACTTGGAGGTTTATAGTCATATTGATGGTGCGAGAATTATCTCGATTGGCTCGGATCAAACCGTGGAATTAGACGGTTCCAGTAGCCGTGACTACAGTCAGCCAAAGGACAGGCAGAAATACACATTTGAGTGGCGATGTGTGCCGGTAGAGAATGATATGGAAAATACCTATTGCAAAGAAGGAAATATTATGTCCACTAGTGAGTTTATAAGTTATGTTCACACGACAGCTGAGCTGTTAATTATATACGTTTTCCTTTTCCCACACCAAAGGCGCCAAAGTCAGCATTGATGGCCGACAACTCGCCGTCACAGGTCTCTACAAAGTGATGCTGCGCACGAAATCTCCCATTACAGGCAATACCGCCGGCGATCACATCTACATACGTGTCGAGTTCGGCACAAAAATACCGTTATTGATCATGTGTTATCGCAATTGCTTAGATTATTACTATAATGAGGGTGAGAGCATATTCCTGCATGTCGACTGCATTGGCGGCTGCGGCAAGAAGCGAACCTTCTACTTTGAGATCGACGACAAATTCGTTACCTCGAATCATGATGGCTTTTTACGATTTAAGGCACCAATGGCGGTCACATTCAAGTTCAATGTCACGCTCATAGCTGATGGCATAGATAGTGTGGCTATAGCGCCTTTCTACCGCAACGAACCACCAGCAGGTGGCAGCTGTGCGGTGACACCCGAGAAGGGTGTACCAGGCGATACGCTATTCGAGGTTTCCTGCCGCAATTGGACTGATGAAAACTTGCCTATATACTATGTGCTCAAAGCGGGCAATTTACTCTACGATCGCACTACCGACCCGAACTGGGAGGTTTATGTACCACAAGTGACGGCGATGAGCTTACGCATCTGTGACAATCGAGATGCCTGCAGCAATGCTGAAGTGCCACTCGAGTTGGAGGCTGTGGTCATACCGAAAGGATTGGAAAACGTCAAGGCGTACATGGAGAACTACACAAATAATGTCGAGAAATTGTTGGAAGGCGGTCAGTATGCACGCGCTGTAGTCAAAGCAGCGCTGATGATGAAGGATCAACCTTTGGATGTCATCAAATATGTGCTCAACGGCTTCCAGAACTTCAACGCTAACTCAGTACCGGATGTCAGACAATTGAGCACCATGACCAGCCAGCTAATTGAACCCATGGGCAATTTGACGAGCGAAAAGTTGGATGTAATCAATGGGCTATTGGACAAGATAAGTCGCGGCTTTGGAGAGATCATAGGTAGCGATGCGGTACGAGAAATGTATAAGGTAGATGTGAAGGATTTGTCCGAAGAAATAGTTGGCATAGTGTCGAAGCTCGTGTCGGCAACTGAGAGATTTGTCGATGTGCAATCGCTGCTGTGGGAGTTCGAAGGAGGCATGGTGTATGTTGCGGATGCGCGTGCAAATGTGTCGCCTAAGTTTGGACAGCTCATTGAATTCTACGGCACTCACGAGCGGCTGAATGATACCATCTTAACGCCAATCAACAAATGGTTGTATGCCATTTGCAGGTCCTTCGACCTGTTACATGATATTGGTCTAGCCAGTAGCCTCATTGTGCACAAGGGCGATGAAGAGTTCATTGTCGACAAATTAAGCATACAAATGACTACGTCCGGTATAATAGACAACGCACCCCTGACCTTAGTCTCAGCTGACTACTTAACCACAGCGTTTCTGAGCAAACCCTTACTCCAGGAAATGCAAAAGCAGCTGAAAGGCAGGGAAATGAAGATGCAAGTGGTCAGCTTTAGAGAGAACCCTTGCTGGTGGTACCCCACAGAACATCCCATCACCACTGCTGTATTCTCTTTGAGTGTATTCAGCGAAAAAGACTCAAATTTACTGATAAGCGAAATCACAGCACCATTGAAGCTCGAAATGCTGCAACAACGTTGGCCTAAAGAGCCGCCATTGATACGAGGTCAGGTTTACGCAGTCGATGAAATGCCCATCTATCAGGTTCGCGCGCCAGAGGGCGCCGCCCTCATCGTTAATTTCACATCCGTGGATGAAGATATGGATGTGATTGTGCAGTGTGGTAAATTGCCGAACGAGAAGGAAGTGCGCGAGTCAGGCGAGCGAGTGATGTCGGGCGCTGTTAAAGGTGTTACGCGATACGCGGCTGTAAATAGTGGCGGTAAAGTTGATTGGTGTTATGTAGCCTTAATAGCCGCAAGACATGTAATTTTAACAACCGAAGCACATTACGCTTTTACTATAGAAATCCAGGAGTGTCTCTCTTGGAATTTGAATTTGGTCAGGCCAACTTGGCACAACAAGGGTTGCATTACCTCAGTCGATGTGGCAGGCGCTGATAACATCTCGTGTCTTTGCTATCACATGTCAATATTTTCCGGACGCTCATACTACAGCACAGCCGAGGAAGTGGTGCGTGAGCGCACACTCAAGCATAGCTTGGATATCAATTGGTATTTGATCGCCTTTTATATACTACTATTCTTGATTTTCCTTTGGCTTTTGCTACGCACTTGTGATGATCTCTCGAAAAGTCACCAGCGACTGTACACCGAGTTGAATGAGAACGAGCGTAATGACATAAGTCGCATTGCACTGCACATCACTACTGGTGGTCAGTGGACGGCGGCGAGCTCAGCCAATATACTGATTACCCTACCGGCGGGTCAGACGTATACGATCACGCAGAATCCCGAACGGCCGTTCCTAAAACCACACACCACCTGTGTGCTGGAGCTACCTATACGCGCCAGCGAGCTCGATGGTCCACTGCTAATAAGCCAAGACAAAAATGGCCGCTATCCATCGTGGTACTGTGACTCTATAACTGTGGTGAATTTGGCGAATGGTGAGAAGCGCCATTGCAGCGTACGAAAGTGGATTGGGCGTACGCCGGTCAGTGTACTGCCAGACAAAGTGGAGCGCGAGCAACAAGTGCGTGATAGTAGCGATGTGAGCGAGCGTGAGGATGAGGATGAGGATGATGATAAGGAGATGCAAGCGCAAAGTAAGAGCGCCTTACGCGCCGAAAAATGGCAAAAGTTTAAGACTGCCTATCACGACATATTCATGGCTTGGTTTCTCTTTCAACCACTCTTTGGCAGTTGGCAATATGGTGCGGTGGACGCTAATCGTTCTGTGCGCAGTTGCATTTGGATTGCCAAGTTCGCTGTCCTACTGCTGTTGGTCTTCTTGTATTTCGGTGAGACTAATCTGAATAATTACGAAACTGAGCGATTTGAATATGAGTTTTTGATACGTCTCATTGATGGTCGTTTGGTGCTCTTTCTTTTTGGCTGTTATTTCATAACACTTGCGTTGGAGCTATTGTTGCTTTTCATTGTGTATCCTGGCTTCTGGAAGAATTGCTGCCAGCCAGATAAGATGAAGGAGAAGAAGGACAGTGAGAGGGAGAAAAAGGAAAATTATAAGAAACCAAATACAACAAGCAATCATGATGAACAAGGCAACACGACAAAGAAAAATAAATCTGAGGAAAATGCAGAGGGTGTTGCGGGTCAAGGAAACAAAAGCACGGAGAGGAACCACAATGATGCGATAGACTTTTTAATGTAGTCAGCGATAAATGAGAGATTCTGAGACTGTAAGAGAGGGGTATAACTCTTGCTACTTTTGATTAACTTTACGTATATAATTATTTTAGTTATTTTTTTTTATATGAATATTTTCTTTCAACAATCTTTGATCAATTTTTTTTTTTTTTCAAGTACATATTTTACGGTTTTTAATATCTGAAATTGGAAAATCAATTTAAAAAAAATTATTAGTTTTTTTCATAAGTTTTAACACAATGTTTTTCTATTTAATTTTTCGATTTTTTATAACTAAAAAAAATATTTTATAAAGTATTGTTTGACTCCCCCCCCCCAAAAAAAAAAAAAAAAAAAAAAAAGTTTGCGGCTTTTTTATTTACTGATTGAAAATTTAATCCATCTTGAAATCTTTATTTTTTAAAACTAAGTAATCTTTGTATGATTTTTAACTACTTTTCGCAAGTGAGTTTTTATAAAAACTTTTTGTTTTTAGTATTTCAATTTTTTTAATTTTTTTGATAAAAGAACTTGAAGAAAGGTTTGAAATTTTTCTTTTTCCTAATTTTGTATAAAAATGTCGGATATTGGGAAATGAATTCCAAAATTCTGCACTACTTTTTCTTTGAATTTCTGCCCGAAATGTGATTGTGAAGGCCGAATTAATTTATTTACCTGAAAAAAAAAATATTTCTCTACACCACTCCTTTTTATTATTTACCTTCATTTAAGATTTTATCTGCTAAAAGCCATACCTGTCTTGAAATCACCCGTAACGCCTCCAGCAAGAATAGCCTCGAAGTGTGTCACACAAATACCAATTTTATATAAAAACCAATTAGCAAAATTACAAAAGAACACACGTGAATGAAAGCCAACAGCACTTTGTGACTCAAGCATTAAGATGTCGACGACAGAAGGCTGAGCATAAAGGACGTTAATAACATTTAGCCAAAAATCAAAGAAAACAGCAACAATCGGCAATGAAAGACAAACAATAGAGACTAGTAAATGCACGTGCAAATACGTGATTTTTGCTCTTGGCTTGTACAAAGAAAATAATTTCTATAAAAATATTATTCTCGGGGAATATAAGGAATTTCATTAGTAATTGAGGCAGCAGGTAAGAAGTGAAATAAAGAATCATTTCAATAAATCAGTATAAAGCCATTAGCTAAATAAATAAGTTAGAATAACACAACGAATTATTGGTCGGTGACTTAAAAAGCTGAAAGATATGCCTAGAGGGATCGAAAGTGGGAACACTGTCAATAACAGTCAGTCAAACCGATTTGAATTGTCAGTTAGAATATGGCAAAGGTACCCAGTTCTGTCCATCAGCAATAAATGTTTGCGAAGCTCATAGTATTATAAAAGCTAACAACAACTTTAAGCCTTTCAATATTGCAAAAAACTTTAAAATCTAAAAATTTTAAATACATTTTCTTCATGCGACACCTTTGTTGCTCGTTTAGCATCTTCGGGAATAATATATCTTTTCTCTTACAACTTTTCTCTGAAGTAAACTTCTTTCCTGGGAATTAGAAAGAAAAAGAGAAATATCTACCAAATGATCTCACTACATTCACATAAAATGAAATTCAAATAATAGCAACAACAATTTATTACAAGAAAGTGCAAAGCGAATATATATCACTAGTGACACTCAACGTGATGACTCCACACACCTCCACCACATGCAAAAACGTCAAAAAAAAAATTATATTAGAAAAATCATAATTTGCATTGTCCTCACATAAAATCCATTTCCCCATTGATAGCTACATGGCAGAGACATTTAACATGTCACAAGTTGCTCATAAAATATTTAAAAGCGTAAATTATGCTCCATAAATATTGGCGGCCAAGGCTCTACTGCTTACGCACAAAGACATATATTCCCCCTAGTACAGGCTGGCTCATTGTCTCCTTCTGGAGATATAGAAAACTTTACGTGTTTCAAATCGGCATAGTAAAGTGAGGAGTCACGTGTCGCTGGTGGTGGTATTGAGCGAAAACAAAATCCGAATTATGAATATCCACATTCAAATGCGTGATAATGGAAACCAAAAAAATATGTAAATTAACACGCGTGACAAATTAATGGGAGGGTGTGGTGTATGGAACAGTAAAAATTAATATGACGAAAATTATAAAGGTATATTATTACAGAGAAAGTAACTGAAGCCTGCCTTCGGTTTATAAATTTATTTTATTTTATTTTATTTTATTTTATTTTATTTTATTTTATTTTATTTTATTTTATTTTATTTTATTTTATTTTATTTTATTTTATTTTATTTTATTTTTTTTTTTAATTTTTTTTATTTAATGTATATATATATAAAGTGTAGTATACAGTATATTTTTTATTTTTCTATATATGGTATTAACCATTTTTATTTCCTTGTTTCAGCATTGAACACCGTCAAATATAGTTTCTACACAGTTCGTATTCTTTTGGTCTCCCAAAGAGCTGGACGATGTTTCCAGCTACTTAACGAGCATATGCGTTGCATTATCAAGTAGGTCAAGCTCATAACTTGTTGTAATAACAACTATTGCTAATTGGTGTCCTCAAATTCTTGGGATTATATTGTAAATTACCGTAAATGCAATGGCTTTTAGAACCGATTGGTGACTCTGATTAAAGTCAAGAATTAATGAGCAAGCTGTGAGCGGACTGCTGCAGAGATGACTGTCATAAGCACATACTAACATACCATTACAACACATACTAGCATTATACACAAACATACACACCTTAGTACATTATTCAGAATAATTTCAAATATGCCAGATACCGAAGCCAATCAATTACGTTGAGCAATTTTGACGCGAGACAATAAACAGTTCAGCTATTCATAGTAGCATAACATGAATAAGCATGTGTGGGTATGTATGTGTCACTATTCTCGCGGGAAATGCATTTTACGCGAATAAAGGACAATGCATTATTAGAATCTAGTTATGAATTTGACAGTTTACGTTTGAGGGTGTCAAGCAGTTAGTGTAGGGAGAACTCTTGTGATGTCTTGGCGAAACAAAGCAATCGGTTCAAGAAAGTCAAAACGCGTACAGTGGAGAGAAATTACATATTTAATTAATTAAACAAATTTAACACGTGTGCACGCAAATATTAAATTGAATATTTCTTGCAGTTTCGCGCAAACTGTCAGATGATCTTCTGGAGAACAAAAAATTTTGCTGTCCAAATTTCAAAAAAAAAATTCTGAGGAAATATAAAGTATTTAAAACATTATAATGATATACATAAGTAAGACATCTTTTTATAATATTCGAAAATCAAATATGTTATTGATGCTTTGTTGGATACAAAATTTTTTATTGATTGCTGGTTTAAAAGAATAATAATAATTCCCTAAACTGCGTAAGTTCAAATTGAATCCTCTTGCATTAATATTTCGGAAAGACACGTCCATACCCAGATTGAGAATTTTTGAACAAATTTTGTTTAAAAATTAGCCACTGTGCGTTGGCCGCGATAGCGATAAGGCAGTTTGTTGGGATGTGTGGGGGTTTTCGGAGATTAAATTGCTTTGTTGCTAAGCAATTTAACAATTCTCAAGTGGCATTTGCACATAATTTGACTGCCCTTTATACACAAACAAACTCACACAAACACAGCGCTAGAGTATGTGAACTTTGAAATTAATTTTAATTTTGATTAATGAAATTAATACCTTTAAGGTAAACTCGTGATTTGATTTTTGGTGAATTGTCAAAATTTACACCCATTTAAGCGCTCTTGAGGGAGATATGAAAAATGGAGTTTCTAGTTTAAGACTAATAATAAAAAAATTCCTTAAAATCAACCAACACGTGATGGTGTATACTATAATAAATATATAAAACACATAACCGCACTACCGTTTCCCCGAGTAAGCTCATTTGAGACCACGCCCTTTTTAAAGCGTTGCTTGTCCAAATATTTTTCAGAATTCAGCACTCCCTCAATCGCCTTCTTTCATTTATGCATTCAACAACAACTTATTGCCTCTGCATTGCAGAAAAATTATGCGAAAATATTCATTGGTGCGCTGTGGTGAGTTTGCTATGTTGCAAAGCAAAAAATAAAAACAAATAAAAAAAAATATTTTAATATATTTTTCCGTTGTCTGCATTTTTAATGCTTTGGCAGCATAAAAGAAATTATCAATCAGTAAGCAAGCAGAAGGATGCTCAAATGCTGACTTCGAGTATATGGCGAATGGCAAGTGCAATTTCTAGGAGAATCGTCTTTTACGTATTTCTTGTTCATAGTTAAAAGCGAAGCAAAAAAAAAGAAGAGATCTGTAAATTTCATATTTCAACGTGCGTATCATATTTACTTTTAATGATCTGCATAATAAATGTTTGCTGAATATATTAAAAATGAAATTTAAAATAAAAAACATTTCTGCATTGGTGAGTATGAAATTTCTTAATTTGGATTTATTTACGGAATAAATAGTTAACATCAGTGTTGAAATTATTATATTAAACTTTCAATATGTATATTCGATATCTTTTCTGTAATTTCAACTGTCGCGTCTGGCAAAGAGACAAATGGTCAGTAGGATATATTGATTTTCCGAACAGACATCAGCTTCATACTAGTTAAATACTAGTTTATTTATACATGTTAGACTTCTTTGCATGCCTTTCCTAGCTGCCAACATCCTTATCGTGACTACATGAACAGCTACGACAAGCTTCGGATTTCGGTCGAGCATAACAGAATTTAGAACCCAGTCGAGGAGTACTCAAGGTGAGTACTACAAACCACAGGAAATGTGGGGTTAATAATGAAATGTTTACTGTTGAACTACTACACACCAATCAATAACCGACTGGTACGACTTCATCAACAAAGCATTAGCTTCTACATAAGTTCTACCTGTAGAGTTTACAAGTGTCACATAAAAATTTTGTTTTTTTTTTTACTTTTTTTACGTCTAATACTCGTTTCAACTTATCTGCGCTTTCAGCTCACAATTTGACCTGCCATCCGTAGTCGGAATTAATTGAAGCCTGCTCAACAGGGCAGCTATCTCGTATAGTATGCCAATAAGCTTTGCGGCTACTTTATGATTAAAATATTGGCCTCTAGCATAAGAGGGGAAAAATTTGAATGTAGTTGAAGAAGAAGTTTTATTAAAATTTGCAAGTCTGATAAGGCCATAGTCTGCTGTGTGCCAGAAAGTAAGAAAAGATCTAGTGATAAAAGAAGAAGCAAAAAATATGCAAGCTTTTAGAAATTTTGTCTCCTTCTCAATTGCATATTATGTTTACGCTGTCCGCCTACGCTTGTAAGAAGTTATCGAGAGTTATCTGCATAAAATTAAAAGATTTCGCAGACGCTACTGCGGCCAAAGGACACTCTCATGCAGAAGTATTAGAGCAGAACTGGAGGATGGGTCACCAGGAAGTTCAACATAGGTGGCTGATACAGGTGAATAATGCACCTTTTTGCCTTTTGTGTCTTCGAACGTCGTCTACAACATCGAACTACGAACGAATAACGGTTCATGGCGGCATACAAATGAATTGCGCGCCATCCATATTGAATGTGCCTAACGTATAAGCCAATAGCTCTGCAAATATATTTGTGTGTATGTGCGTATGTATTAGCAAGCCATTCGGCTTGACATTAACTCTTTCAAGTGATATTAATAGCGACGACAACAACAACAACAAGAGCAACAACAATGCAAAAAGCACAATAACAGGCCATTCAAAATCTTGCCTTGTCAATACAACAAAGCTGTTTAGGCTTCTTAAGCTACCTTTACCTCGACGATTACATTGCTTCTATGACTCACTCTCTCCCCTTCGTTGTTGTTGTTGTTGGCCATTCATAAGTTAAGTCGCGTAATCGATAGAATTTGTCGTGGCTCCATCGTTGTAGGCTGAGCACGGGTATATAAGTGTGTATGTATGTGTGTGTGTGTGTGTATAGTCGATGCAAATGTGCTGCCTGTTAGTCCTGTCATCCTTTATGGCCTGCGCATATTTTGCCGTCGATTGTTGTGTTGAAATTGAGATTTATTGCAAAAATTTAAATAATAATGTGCATTTTTCTCAGGTCCCTCTACCCGCCTGTCTGCCGTTGCCTGTACCGCTGCCGATGAGTACTTTGAATGGCATCTCCTTAATCTGCTCAATCTCAACCTTTTCTTAATATAAGCTTTGTCTGCTTAATATGCGTTCGCTTGGGATTATTTTGCTTTTGCCGTTTTTTCTTTCTCTTACTTCGAGAAGTGGACGTGCAGCCCCCCGTTAAGGGCGCGATAAAGGAGTCTCCTGGCAAGTACTTATGTACATTTGTTGATTGGCTGTGGCGTTCGCTCATATTGCGGATTAGTTGGGTGTGCTCACCTTTGCATGCGCTAACTCTTTTAAATTGCGGATTTCCTCTTCACATTTGCACATTTCTTCTCTTCTGGATTTTCTGTCTTTACGATTTACTTACTTGTTGATTGCAAATATCTGGTCGGTTTTTATTTATATAATTCTTTTGATCTCTTTTGTATTATTATTTTTTATTTATTTTTTTTTTGCAAGGAAAATATTTAATTCTGCTTTGTCATCTGTAATTTGAGTCATTTTGGTGAGGTAATTGCTCTGCAATTGTTGATGATTGGAAATATATGAATTAATTTGGCATTAACATATCAGACGTTCATTGCAAGACAACTTCAGGTAAATTATTATTTTTATTTGCCGGTATGAAGTTTCACCAAGAAATTGCAATAGAAGCGAAAGAGATTGCAGAAAACTGTACTTAGAATTTAACTATAGCACACATTGAGGCAAATACTCTTTTGCCTGTTTTTTTTTCTAAATTTAATTTTATGTAACTTTCATATCACAATTCTCAGACAATTTTTAAAGCTCAATGGGCATACTTTTAGGTGCAGTGTTGAAAAGCTCGTTTTAAGCCCAAAATAAGGTCAAAAGCTTTAAATAGCAACTTACCGTAGTCTGGGAAAGTACGATATGCAAAATTCCTGTTTCGATCAAATCAAACCTGGGAGAGGATACATTTTAGCCTAAATCTAAATCTCGGTACCTCAGGATTGTGTTGAATAGGTATTTGTCGTGGAGACTCAACTGGCATTGGCGGTCTAAAGCATATGTGAGAGGATGGTAGGCATCTTGTACTGAATCTATGTTGCCAATGCAATGCTCTACTTCAGGAAACTTTTCCTTCTATGATCCGCTTTACTAGAGCGCTCTGAACAATATCTCCTGCAGTAAGCCATCAGCAGATGGAAACTAATCTTCAGTCCGTATTGGATTTACGGTAAAAAGGACCACTGTTGTTTTCGAGAAGTGTGGCAGCATAGAATCAGAATCATGCCTTGTTTTAAGTTATAAATGATACAATACAGCTTTAGCCCATTCGCTTTTTGTGGTATGCTTAGTAACAATTTGGATAAGGTACCGTCTTATTGAGACTCATTACAGCAAAGTACGACCTAATATAACAACATATAAGTTGATTGAGGTAAGCCATGTGGAGATTATATAGAATATTACTCTAAGAACTATGCTAAATTGACCAAATCCACTTAAGTCTTTATATTTCCATCTGGGGGCGCCGACACAGCAGGCTTATTTTCTTCTTAAACAAGAACCAGTTATTTTATAAGTGTCTTCTAGACAAGGTAATTTTTTTCAATTTAAATTTGGATATACTTTTCAAGCAGCCAAATGTAGACAACGTTTCGAGGACTACTTGCCCAAATATTTTTTTTTAAGAAGTTGCTGTCGCTTCCGCCATGCAGTTTTCACCCTCTTTTTTTGTTTTGCCATCAAAGTTACCAACCAACAACTTACGTAATATAAACCAAAATAAATCTGCAAAGCTTCTAAACCTTAAGTACGATTAATGAATGAAAATCGCCTATTATTTGATATAATAGCTTAGCTGCTGGAATACGAAATCATTGATTTACGCTGCAAGCAATAGCCTTGCCAAATGCTTGCTGTTCAATTTTTTGGAGTTCATATATAATTTCAAAATCAGCTTTTGACTTAAGTATAAAGCGATAAATGTTTATGCAACAAATCGGCAATATTGATTTACTGAGTGCAACATGCACACACGCACACACAGTGAGACATGTTAGTGTGAATATGTGAGTTTACATACACATGGAAATGTGCAGTTTTGCCCAACTAACGGTATTTACCTACTTGTCAGTTGTGTGGCAGCATACACGTA